TGTCTAGATAAAGCATCCAGTTAGTGGTGGGAGATGGAGCTTGAAAGTCACAATGGAGAGATGGGACCAGAGAGGCTGTGAGGGGTCATGCGTATGCTTAGATGATGAGGGTAAGCACAGAGGCTGGCCTGGGGCTGAGGTGCCTCAAGAACAAATGCAGAAGGGAAGCAGAGATTCCGGGGTGGGATGATGTCCCAACGAGGGCACCCCAAAGATCTCTGGTCCTGGTTCCACCTATGCGGGCCCTTGCAATAACTTCTTTTTTGTTTCATTTTTATAATTAATGATAATAGTCTCTGTTCTCAATTATCAAAAGGTTCAAGCTACTAGTTTGGAAGAAAGCACAACGGAAAATGTTATACTTATGCAATATTAAATTACACTCCAAAAATATGGCTATTAAAAAGACAAACTGTCCGTAGTAGGCTGTACAAAACTCTGTCGTGTAGACTGTCTGCAGCCTTGTCCCTCACTCTAACAGGACTCTGATTTTCCTCTGGGGACTGTCCCTCACATACACATTCCACACCTCTCCTCTGCCACTACCCTCCCCATGGCTGGCACATAACAAAGATCTAGCAATCAGCGAATAAGTACTTAACATCTAGACCAGACTGGGGATACAGCTCAGTTGCATAAGCACTTGCCTGGCAAGTCTGAGGTCATGAGTTGGATTCCTGGTACCAAACAAAAAAAAAAAGAAAGAAAATCCAGACCACAAGGTAGGTTATAGCCACAAAAACTTTATATAAATAGGAACTATTTTAATTCTTGAGGAAAAGATGACAAAGACTCTGTGGACGAAGAAGGAAAAGTTGCAATTGGGATCCATAGTTGTCTTCAAAATAACAAAATCAACTTCCAACTTTTCTATTAATTACCCAAGTGACCCTCATCAAGTTCTTTCCCTCCTCTGAGCTTCAATTTCCTTATATATAAAATGAGGGGCTCAGCTCAGCTCTTTATGGAAGCTGAGGCAGGAGGATCTCAAGTTTGAGAACCTCCTTGATTTTAGTGAGACCCGCCCCATCTTAAAAAATAAAAATGGTATAAAAGGAGGAGCTCAGTGGAACTATAATCAGGGCCTTCTAGAGCCCTTTCCTCCATAAATCTGGAGCCTAACTGAAATTTAGAGACAGCACAGTCTTCCTTGTGCGGCACTGGCAGTTGGACAGGTGCTAAGCTTGGGGAGGTAACAATCTTTGCCCTCAGGCAACTTGTAATAGATAAATTTGAAGTACATTGTTCCCTTATTCTGACCTGTGGCTCAAACAAAATGTTTATTTTAGCACTCTTTCCAAACCATTAAAGTCTGCCCCCTTAAGTGACAAATAGTTCATCTAAAATGAATCTCTCCTAATTCTCCGCTCCCCCTCCACTCCTCACACTCCCCACCCCCACCTCCCATCCAGAAGCTCCTGTCTTCTTTCCTCTCAGGAACATAGATCATCTGCACCAAATGACTTCAATATGGAAAGAAATAATACTTCATTCCTTTTTTTTTAATTTCCAGAGCCTCTCAGAACTCAAAAGCAGAGCGATTGATGAATGGGTACAAGGTAGTGCTGCTACAGGTCCAAGGGATTTTGAGGACTCTCTTCTCTCCAAGCACACTATATATTGGCTACAGATAGGTCACAACCACTTAAAACTGGAGGGATTAAATGGTGATTCCTGAATCATCAATTGCTCTATCACTTGCAGAGATGGGTGGCATTGTGGCAGCTGGTTGATCTAGCTCTTCCAACTGCTTTAGCAACTCAGATTCCCTGTGGAGGACTGCCTATACCAGAGGGGAAAGCTACTCGAGTCTGGGACCCTCAGATCAATATTATTCTTTGCTACCCCAATTGGCCACTCTCTCCTACTACCTCAGTAGACAGGAGAGATTCCAGGTAGCCTGCCAGAGCTACCATCTTTCTAGGTTGGACAAGGAAGACAGGGTGTTTTTTGAAAAGTGGTCCTGTTAAAATATTACATTCTAATAGAAGACCTGGAGGAAGAAGCAGGCTTCTCCTGGAAACATCAGCACATCATCGCTGTGCTGAGTGAATTCTCTTTGCTGCAACAGAATTGAGATGCCATTGGCCGATCACTCCTGGGACAGCCAGGTACTAGCAAGAGAAATGTTTTGCGCAGCTTTCCTGCCTTACTTCTAGGAGAACTAGGTCCTGAAGGAGGGGCACTGCATTTGGGTGGGGTGAATAGACAGAACTAAGAAAGTGCCAAGACTTCTGATATTTCCAAGAATCAGGGTAAATCCCAAAAAAACAACACAGAGGATTTAGGGCATTGGAAAGCAGGGAATCTTAGGAGGAAAATTAAACACTGCAAAGCACAGGATCAGGGGCGAGAATTGCCAGAGATGAATTCACTACCCTCCGGGTTTTGCCCAAGTCCCATCCGCCATTAAGCAGTGAAGCAATTAACCGCTCTAGGGTCAGGACATCAGAACCCCGAGTGGTTTGATTCTGGAAGTGGGGAAGACACAGATATACAATGACATAACTGACCCTACCCTATCTGTTGAATGTTCTTCTGATTCGGGTGGTTTCAAACCATCCTTGGGCTTAAAACCAATGAGAATGAATAGAAGCTAAAAATACTTCTATTTCACAGAGGAACTGGTTAGATTAATTAGGTTCTCCTGCATCGTATCTAGTTCAAGTATGTTTCATTTGTCTTTTTTTTTTTTAAACAAAGTCACATTTTAATAAGAGAGCAGTTAATAGTATGAAACCAGCAAGTCGCCATAATTTCTCTGATATTTTGCAAATCCCTTCTACTATAGATTATCACAATTCATTACAATTATAGCAGCCCTGATTTTCTGAAAACATGCTCTCATTCTTCCAAGAAAAAAGAAAATAAACATTTTTAAATGTTTCTTCTTTCCTCTTATTCTTAGAGCAGATTCTTGTAAATTTGTTATGGTTGTTTCTTAATTTTTTTTGAGACAGGATTCTACTGTGTAGTCCAGGTTGGGCTATCCAGCCCAGACTGGCCTCAAACTCACAGCAATCTTCCTGCCTCAGCCTCCTGAGTGCTGGGATCACATGTATGCACCACGACCTCTGGAAAGTTTTAATGGCTTTTGGTATTAATTTTACATTTTAATTTTCACAAAAGCAGGGATTTTTGCATGCTTGGTTCACTTTTTATCTCCAGGAGTAGGGTAGGCATTCAATTATTGTCTGTGGATTGGGGTGCAGTGGTACACTCCTATAATCCCAGCTACTTGGTAGGCTGAGGCAAGAGGACCACAAGCTTCAAACCAGCCTGGGCAGTTTAGAGAGCCTTGTCTCACAATAAAAAGGTAAAAAGGGCTGAGGATGTAGCTCAGCGGTAGAGCACTCACTGCAAGAAATTCTGGGTTCACCCCCCACAATGTTGGGAAAAAGTGTGTGTGTGTATGTGTGTTGAATGAATGCTTGAATCGTGGCAGTAAATACTATAATATTTTAGCATCATTTGAGTTTAAGAGGGTTGGGGATATAGCTCAGTGGCTCAAGTGCCTGCCTCAAAAGCACAAGGTCCCGAGTTCGATTCCCGGAAAAAAAAAAAAAGGAAATAGAATTTAAAAGGCCAAGTTAAACTTACACTTTGGGGCAGGGAAGAGGATTCAGCGTCAAGGCACAAGTTTGATCCGTATAAAGAAACGTCAAGTAATGGTAGGTTTTTTTTTTTAACGCCAGTTACCTAAAGTGAGAAATTTATGAAAGCACTTAAAAATATTAAAAGTGATATACATACGTTAGCACAATTTTTACAATGTATGATTAGTAATGTCTATTATTATTGTTTCTACTTGCGGATTTTATTTCCTGAAGTCACTGCAGTGACGGGGGGTGCCAAGCGACATTTTTGAGTCTGTGTTAAATCGTGTTAAACGTGACTCTTCTGCAAATGCCTAGAAGTTTATTCCAGTTTCCTAAGGAGCAGGAAGATCAGTCCGTGTAGCAATGCGAAGGGCCCTCCCACACCTAGCTGTGGTGCTGGGGCAGGGCAAGGGACCCAGCAGGTGCAGGGCCGGCCTCATCAGGGTGGATGCTGCCCTGAACTAATTCTGCAGCACAAGTCACCGCTACAGGAGCACAGCCGTGAAGTCCACGCACGTCTTAGTCCATTTGTGTGCTATAATAAAATGCCCGACGCTGAGTTAAAGAACGGAAATGCATTCTGCAGGGTCTCAAGGCTCAGTCCACCATCACGGTGCCCACATCTGCGGAGGGTCTGCTTTTGCATCCTCACAGGACATAGGGAGGGCAAACTAGCCCGGGGCTGCTGGGAGAAGCCTCTTTTATTTGGTCCTTAATCCGTTTCAGGAGGGTGGAGCCCTCATGACCTAATCACTTTTTGAAGGTCCCACCTCTTAAAACTTGAATTTCCTAGGGACACATTTCAACTATAGCAAGACCTGAGAATGTCTCGTGAAGGCTTTGTTCCTTTGGAAAGAGGGAAGCTCCTCGATTGTTCAAGGTTTCCGGACAAAGCTGTCTGGTGAACTCCTGGCGTCTGGGAAAGACAGCCTCTTTTAAGTTCCTCTCGGATCTCCACGGTGAGCTAACCAAAGGTCATCAGATATGCAGCTGGATAGTCTATGATCACAGGGACTCCTTGCAGTCGGGAAAGCGAAACCGGCTGGGGATTAAACCGCCTGTTTTGTGTACCTATGATTTCACTTTCTTTAAAAAAAAAGAAAATGAATCCACCTATTAACTGCGGATAAATCTCTGAATTCTGCCTTTCCCCATCCTCAAAGCTCCAAAGCCCGACCTGGGAACAGCTGTGGTGTGAATTAGTCGGTCTAAGCTTCTGGGCTGCTTCCAACTTCGCTCTAGCTCGTGCCCTTCGGGTCAAGGCAAGAAGTGATGTAATGCACTCAGCCCGGCCACTTTAATTACAATGGAACGGAGCGGGAGGGGCCATGGGCGGTGACAAGTTTAGCGCATGACTCGCCCTAGGGATGCAGGAAACAAAAACATCGGCCACCATTGGCTGCGTCCCCTTCCGACTCCCCACCTCCAGGTCTGGAACCTGGAGATGCGGCTCCCGGGAAGAGGGGTGGCGCTGTCCCACGCGGCGTCAGCCTGAGACGCGCCCGGCGCGCAGACACGCTCGCGCGGGCGGCAGCGTCCTCCGCGCTGGGATGGGCGTGGGGTCCGGCGCGCCCCACTCGGAACCCCGAA